GTGTGTTGTCATATTCGCTATACACTCAAAAGAAGCATGACTGTACCGAACAGACTGTTTCGTCGGACTTTCACCGACTCATCAGGAGGCTGAATGTATGCGTGCGCACGCGGCAGCAATGCCCGTGGTGTCACTTGTGTAAATGTGTGCGAGGGGGCTGCGCAGGACGACGCGCGGGATCTCGTATCAACAGCTGAGACCCCTTCAACGACCGGCGGAGGACTCGTTCTCGCTTCTGTTCGCGCGGCCTGTCGACTTCCATTCTCACACAAAAAGGAGATGAAACTTGACGACGAGGCAGAAGGAACTTATAAAGGAAACACGTTGCCGATAGAAAATATATGATTGAAATTGTGAATCCATGGCTTTTTCTTTTTTTTCTAATCATTACTAAAACTTCAGCTTTTTTTTGTGCAGACATGTGCACATACAGGGATTTTGCCAGGTTGTAGGCGCCAAACATGCGCTCCAGCTCATCCTTCATTTCCGCGCACGCGGGGGTGATTATCTGCACATCGCTACGCTCCGCCAATCGGACACTGATTCCCGTCTCCATCGTCTTCTTCTGCTATTCCTCCCTCCTCCTACTCCTCCTACTCCTCCTTCCCCCCCCCTCCTCCTCCTCCTCGTCCTCCTCTTGTTCCTGTCCTCTTTCTCTCCCTCTTGTCGTTCTCTCTCCCCCCCTTCCTTCCCTGAACCCGCTCAACAACCACCACCACTCTCTGCAGCCCACTGAAGGCGTTAAGATGAAATCCCTGGGGTATATCTCCTTCCGCCTCGGCGAATCTCTCTGCGGCGGCGCGTCGCCCCCAGTCCATTTGCAACAGATGCTACATCGCCGCGCAATGGACGTCTGAAATGCATAGCTACCCCGCCAAAGCGCTGCCTGTATCAGCGCGCGTAGTTCCTCGGCCGGCTTTGGCCGTACTCACACAAGGACTTTCTCGACCGAATATCACCAGGGTTACGGCCAGATGCATCCCGAAGAGTCCATCGGTCACTTGGCGCGAAGTTGACCAGCCTACCGTAGTGACCTGCGTGGTAGCCTTTCCGCTGGAGATGGTCGTACTTCCGCGGGTAGCTACCGCCAGTCGACGTGCTTCGTTATTCGTTATTCAAATATAGACCCTTCCCGCACTATTACCATAGAATAGTACCATGGAACTGACCAGCCCCAGGTAATTTCGTAGAATTGTAGTGCTTCCGTGATCTGCTTCCTGCAGAGTTCGAGCTTGGGTTCAACAGTTCAGCAGGTGTACCAACTGAGCTACAGGCCTGTTGGTTTCCCGCACTATTACCCAGTACCTTTCCAAATAAATTATGAAAAGAAGAGGCAGAAGATGATGCGCCAGTACCTTTCCAAATAAATTATGAAAAGAAGAGGCAGAAGATGATGCCAGATCTCATAGGAGTGAGTCAAGAAGGTGTGGGCCGCAGGCCCGCACACCATGGCAAAATCAAGGGTGGGCGGGTCCGATTCGCCAAAAGGCAAGGAGAACGACTCAATCTCCATAGAATCTAACCCTTGTGCTCCTGCTCAGGTTTAAGTATGCGATGAGTGCTGCGAGCGGGCACGGATTGGAGGGCGCTGCTCAGGAAACTTCGCAAGTTGTCGTCGCAGGCCAGGCCCCTATGACTTATACCGTCACCGGCCAAGGCAGTGGTACCGGTCGGGCTGGCGAGACAGTTCTTCAGCCTGGGTGAGTGTCACATCATCCGTTGTTCTCCTTGCTTCAGGTGACAGTCCTTAGTCGATTTAGGTAGTTGTTTTGTCTGCCGTGGATGTCTGAGACTTGACGTGATGGTTGAAGTTGTTTCTCACCAAGATCGTAAATGATGTCAGACTATCAGTGAATGGTTGAGATAGAGGTTCCGGTTCCAACTGTCGGGTACCAGTACCATCGACCCACGATGACCAGCCGGAAGAAAGTGTGCTGTTGAAACTGTTTCCAATTGCGGTCGCTATCGTAGGCATAATGCTGCTCACCAGTCGTGTAATATGTATGAAGGCGTACGCGCCATAGTCATCGACTCATTGGGCGTGGCGCTGCGACGAAATATTCTCTGCCATCACGCGACTTTCTGCGCGAAGCTGCTTTGGGGGGAACGAGACGGGCTGGTCGGGCGAAGTGCACAAGGATGGGTCGGCCGGGCGGGTTGCATAAATGCCCTTGCTTCTTTTTCGTTTTTCTTTTGGAATTTTGTTGGGCCAGTACCGAGAAAGGTCCCGCGTAGGCAGTTAGGTGACCGCTCCTTAGCAAGCGCGAAAAATAACTGTTGCCATAGCTTCGTTCTTGTTCTGACTGTCGGCACTGGGAATTTTTGGCGCAATCATCGCGCGGGAATATCGGTTTTGAATTTTCTAACTAATGTCGAGCCCTCGCGAGCTCTCAAAATTATTTTTCTTACATAATTTCTTTTTGCAATTAGGATTTAGACTCGGAATTTAGGTACCTTGCAATCTGGTTGCACGACGCATCTTGCTTGCGCGCATCGTGCCTTGGCAAGATCTGCGCATTGATCCCGTGCGCCTTAATTTTGCGTGTAACTGTAATTTTTGGCGGGCGCACTTGCAACTATAATCTTCTTGTTCTTGATGTCCTTTGTGTTTCCTCCTTCCTGCCTCCCTCGCCCGTGTATGCACATCCCTTTTTCTATATTCTAATTGGCCCCCATGTTGCATGACTGGATCGACGCGTGGAGAGTGGTTTCATCCCCCGCGCCGCGGCCTGGCCATGCAGATGTAAGCACCTCCTCCTTTCTTCTACTTTGGCATAATCCCGGGTTTCTCGCGGAAGCATGCATGCTATAAATTTCACAAGCGCGATTGTTTGTCTCTCTCTGAGTTTGGAAGGTTAGCGCGGTCAGTGAGGATCGACAAACAAGCAAGTGTGGAAGGTGAGCAGAGAGAGAGAGAGTTGGGCGATCTGACGAGCTGGTGCTGAGTATGCGGGGTTGACGTGGGGCCGCGACGGACTGTGGCGCACGGACGAACCTAGTTTGCATGTTCGGACTAAGCGAGGTGACAACTCTATACTGGTGCAAGGCGACGGACTGCCTGCATCGGGAGTGGTGAAGAGAGAGAGAGAGAGAGAGAGAGAGAGAGAGAGAGAGAG